AAATAAATTTTCCGCCAGCTTGAACACTGCACAGTCTTCCCCGTCGCATGCAGACTACGCCACACCAAAGGAAGGTGGCAAGCTGGCGGCCAACACTGTGCAACATGACAATCACCCTGCCAACCGCTCCGTGGGAACATCTCCATCATAGCATGAGCCATCATAGAACATGCATAACCGCCATTGAACAAGAATGGGGGCTCGGACCCTACCCACTTGCAGTGCCACAGTGCCACACTATCATTGAACTTCCGGGCGAGCAAAACCAGGGCCCGCATCGGGAAAATGCTGCTGCCGAAAACGTTATCTCCGTGCCTTTGGGGGCGGACACGATCGTTTTGGCAAAATCAGGCACAGAAGCGAAACTATTGTCCCGCCTCCGCGCTTCCACAGACACGCAGGCTAAGGGTCGACGAAAGAATGAGCAACAGCTCGATTGACAGAGCTGGCGCTCCACAGGCAGCGAGGGCTGTTGTGTGGAACCGTAGTTGATGCCGATGCGAGCCTAGCAAGGGCCCGCTGCGCGCCGTTGTGGTGAACTCTTCGATCCGCACTGGGCCCCGCAACTGTACAGTCGGACCTGGGAAGTAATAGCGTCCTTCAGGAACATGAGCCAAAAGGACGAGCACTCGAGGGTACCCTCCACCAAGATGTACAGAAACTTCCAACTGGTCGGCGGGGCGAGAACGAACCTCTTCCGCTAAAAACTAGGCGGGCTACGCGCAGCTTTAATTAGGGAGACAGGGCACAGGCGGGCGGGGCCTCACGCGGCCAGAGTGGGCGGGGCCCGGGGTGCAGGCGGCGCCGAAGAGCTTGCGCAGGAAAAGGTACGCCGCGGACAAGGGTCGGAGGCGAAGATCCAGAGGGTGAGCGATGTGGTGTTGCCGTCAACGGCGCGTCGTGAACACCAGCCTCAAGCGCTGCATAGGAGGACGTGCCACTTGACCAGGTCGACGTCCAGGAGGGAGATGACCACCATGAAGGCGATGAGCAACGTTGTGCCACCGGATGGTGCGGAGGAGGCCCAAGAGAAAGAAGAGCATCACGAAGGCGATGTGCAACGTTGTGCCGCCGGGTGATGCGGAAGCGGCCTGGGGTGGTAGTCCAATCCGCGACCAGGAAGCAGCCAGCTAGAGGTGCGGCCAGAGACGAGGGCCGTCCGTGTCCGACAGGATGTCGGTGTAGTGCAGGGGGGAAATCTGTCCTGCACAGTCAGCGCGTGAAGACGGGCAGCAGCCACGCACGATGCGCTGACGTCCGCATGGCCGCAGGCCGGGCCTGAGCCGCGCAGCGCCATGGCGAGCGGGGCCGCCGAAGCGGCAAGGTGCAGCGCCCGGCACCGGGCCGAAACCGCGCAGTGCTGGGCGCTGCCGCCGTGGGATGGGGGGGGGGGAAGCGAGCGGGGGGGAAAAAGCGAACAGGGCGGAGAGAGGCCGGCGTCTCGCGCCAGCCGTAGTCGCGTCAGCCCGCGCCGTGGGTGCTCACGTGGGGGACTGGGGATGGGTACAGGTAGGACGCGCGGTCCCAATGCATGTAGAAGACGGGGCGCGCCACGCCAGTCGTCGTCGCGTGAGTCCGCACCGCAGGTGCTCACAAAGGGGAACGGCCCCCGATGGGTACAGGTGGGACACGCGGTCCCAGATCATGTAAAGACAGGAGGGGGGGGGAAACGGAAAACACGGGGACAAGGTGGACCGGCGCGCAGTCGTAGCCCGTGGGGCGTGCACGCCACAAGGGCAGTGGGGTACAGGTGGGAGGGGAAAGGAGGACACGCGGTCCCATGTCAAGTGAGAAGGGGGGGTGGCGGAGGCGCAACTGGTGGGGGCGGTTGCGTCGTGCTGCCATAGGGCGAGGGGGTCAGGTCGCCGGCTGGTCAGCGCCGCGGGCGCCTTCCAGTCCAGGTGTCGTTGTGCCCGGAGCTGCGCGCCTGGTCCTCTTCGCGCCCGTCACCCTTGGCGACCTCTCTTTTCCTCTGTGCGTCCTTGTGCAGCTTTTTCTCCCGATCCCAGTCCACGAAGACGCCGGCGCTGCGGGGGCGCGCCTCCACGTGATGGTTGCTGGTGTTCATGTCCTCGAGGAATTTGCCAATTATCCAATGCTACCAGCGTCTCGGGTCGAAAGGGACCTGGAATTTGGATTTGCCTTTGCCCTGCTCCTTGCATATGTGCCTGAACCGCGAATTCCAAGCTGCGTTGGAATGGCGCCCCCCTTCCGCCGGCAGTCTCTTCAGGTGTGTGACTGCTGTCTCGTGTGGGCGGCGTTGCAGGCGGCGCGGAAGATTGCCTGCGTCCGGCTGGTGTCGGGGTGGCGGCGATCGTCCCTGTGGTGAGAACTGCGTGATTCTGGCTGGCGCCAGGGGGTGCTCCCTGTGCCCCTGCCACTGTCGTGGTCCTGGTCCCAATAGCGCTCCCTGGTTCTGTCCCAGTCCTTGGCGTCGTGCTTGCGCCATGGTGCCCCCGCTGCGCCCTGGTTACGATCGCGGTCGCGGTCGCGGTCGTGCTCCCCTGCGCGGGTCCGGTCGCCGGCCTCTCTGGACTCGCGCCTCGCCGCCGTCGCGTGCGACTCCCAGGCGACTGGCTCCCGCGCCCTGCTGCGCAAGCGCGCAAGTTGGTGTGCAGGGAGGGGGTTGAGTGCAGGTCGTGTGTCTTCCGGGCCTTTGGACCGGTTCCGCGCGCGCAGCTCCCAATCGTCGGCCGCGGCCTCCAGACGCGCGATCGGATCCGTGGGTGCGTCGGCGGCCCTCTGGTCGGTGCTGCTTGAATCGTGCTCGGGACTGCTGCCTCGCTCGTTACGAGGACTCGTCTTGGCTTGGTGTTCTTCGACTGTGTCGGAGTCTGAGGATGAGGAGACCGCGTGGACCGTGCTTAAGGCCCCTGCGAGGCGGAGCTTCTGCTCTGTGCCTGGTCGTCACTGGTCCAGTCGGGGTCCTCCTCCTTAGGGGGCATCAGGGGCACAGGTTCAATGGTGGGATCCTGCGCGTCTGCCTGCGGCGGGTAAGGTTCGAGCTTGGGTCTGGTCTGCGTCCCCCCTGGGGACGTCGCTTTGTCGACCCCGATGTCGGCGTCGAGCATGGGGCTGTCGCGGGTTGCTGGTGCCTGCGTCCCGTGAACCTTGCTGTGGGTACTGTCCAGGAAGGCTGCTGCCCGGGGCGCTGCGTCTCCGCGGAGGACGTTCACGCGTGGCGTCCTGTTACCGGTGCCTCATGCTTCCAGCCACTCGCTGCGGATCTGGACGAACTGAGTCCGCCCGTCCTGTTCGCGGTCCAAGACACTGAGGACGGGTCCAAATACCGCTCCGACCAGGGGCTGTGTCGACAGGGGCTCGGTGCAGTCCGCAGTGCTGAACCGCCTGGCGCGGGGGAGGGTATCATTCCTGATGACCGCGTAGTCGCCGCGCTGGATGCACGGGCTGTCCGTTGCGAGCGGGCACAAGGAGCTCGTGGTGGGCGTGTCTGGGACTCGCCCTAGCTGCCGCTCGCGGCTGTCGGGTTCCGCGCACTTTCCGGGGGTTTCAGGTGCCGCGCCGACGGCCGGTGGCGCCCCGACGGACTTGGTAGCTGTAGGTCTCGTAGCAGGCTGGGCCAGGGCCGGCTCGTCGCCAGGCGGAGT